CACATAACCACACAAGAGTTACATTCTCAACACCCAAAACATCACGTAACCACACAAGCATTGCATTCTCAACACCCAAAACATCACGTAACCACACAAGCATTGCATTCTCAACACACAAAACATCACATAACCACACAAGAGTTACATTCTCAACACCCAAAACATCACATAACCACACAAGCATTGCATTCTCAACACCCAAAACATCACGTAACCACACAAGAGTTACATTCTCAACACCCAAAACATCACATAACCACACAAGCATTACATCCTCAACACACAAAACATCACGTAACCACACAAGAATTACATTCTCAACACCCAAAACATCACGTAACCACACAAGCATTACATCCTCAACACAAAACATCACGTAACCACACAAGAATTACATTCTCAACACCCAAAACATCACATAACCACACAAGCATTACATCCTCAACACACAAAACATCACATAACCACACAAGAGTTACATTCTCAACACCCAAAACATCACGTAACCACACAAGCATTGCATTCTCAACACCCAAAACATCACATAACCACACAAGCATTGCATTCTCAACACACAAAACATCACATAACCACACAAGAGTTACATTCTCAACACCCAAAACATCACATAACCACACAAGCATTACATTCTCAACACCCAAAACATCACATAACCACACAAGAGTTACATTCTCAACACCCAAAACATCACGTAACCACACAAGCATTGCATTCTCAACACCCAAAACATCACGTAACCACACAAGCATTGCATTCTCAACACACAAAACATCACGTAACCACACAAGAGTTACATTCTCAACACCCAAAACATCACGTAACCACACAAGAATTACATTCTCAACACCCAAAACATCACATAACCACACAAGAGTTACATTCTCAACACCCAAAACATCACGTAACCACACAAGCATTGCATTCTCAACACCCAAAACATCACGTAACCACACAAGAATTACATTCTCAACACCCAAAACATCACATAACCACACAAGCATTACATTCTCAACACCCAAAACATCACATAACCACACAAGAATTACATTCTCAACACCCAAAACATCACATAACCACACAAGAATTACATTCTCAACACCCAAAACATCACATAACCACACAAGAATTACATTCTCAACACCCAAAACATCACATAACCACACAAGAATTACATTCTCAACACCCAAAACATCACATAACCACACAAGAATTACATTCTCAACACCCAAAACATCACATAACCACACAAGAATTACATTCTCAACACCCAAAACATCACATAACCACACAAGAATTACATTCTCAACACCCAAAACATCACATAACCACACAAGAATTACATTCTCAACACCCAAAACATCACATAACCACACAAGAATTACATTCTCAACACCCAAAACATCACATAACCACACAAGAATTACATTCTCAACACCCAAAACATCACATAACCACACAAGAATTACATTCTCAACACCCAAAACATCACATAACCACACAAGAATTACATTCTCAACACCCAAAACATCACATAACCACACAAGCATTGCATTCTCAACACCCAAAACATCACATAACCACACAAGCATTGCATTCTCAACACCCAAAACATCACGTAACCACACAAGCATTGCATTCTCAACACACAAAACATCACGTAACCACACAAGAGTTACATTCTCAACACCCAAAACATCACATAACCACACAAGAATTACATTCTCAACACCCAAAACATCACATAACCACACAAGCATTGCATTCTCAACACCCAAAACATCACATAACCACACAAGCATTGCATTCTCAACACCCAAAACATCACGTAACCACACAAGAGTTACATTCTCAACACCCAAAACATCACATAACCACACAAGCATTGCATTCTCAACACCCAAAACATCACGTAACCACACAAGAATTACATTCTCAACACCCAAAACATCACATAACCACACAAGAATTACATTCTCAACACCCAAAACATCACATAACCACACAAGCATTACATCCTCAACACACAAAACATCACGTAACCACACAAGAATTACATTCTCAACACCCAAAACATCACGTAACCACACAAGAGTTACATTCTCAACACCCAAAACATCACATAACCACACAAGCATTGCATTCTCAACACCCAAAACATCACATAACCACACAAGAATTACATTCTCAACACCCAAAACATCACATAACCACACAAGAATTGCATTCTCAACACCCAAAACATCACATAACCACACAAGAATTACATTCTCAACACCCAAAACATCACATAACCACACAAGAATTACATTCTCAACACCCAAAACATCACATAACCACACAAGAATTACATTCTCAACACCCAAAACATCACATAACCACACAAGAATTACATTCTCAACACCCAAAACATCACATAACCACACAAGAATTACATTCTCAACACCCAAAACATCACATAACCACACAAGAATTACATTCTCAACACCCAAAACATCACATAACCACACAAGAATTACATTCTCAACACCCAAAACATCACATAACCACACAAGAATTACATTCTCAACACCCAAAACATCACATAACCACACAAGAATTACATTCTCAACACCCAAAACATCACATAACCACACAAGAATTACATTCTCAACACCCAAAACATCACATAACCACACAAGAATTACATTCTCAACACCCAAAACATCACATAACCACACAAGAATTACATTCTCAACACCCAAAACATCACATAACCACACAAGAATTACATTCTCAACACCCAAAACATCACATAACCACACAAGAATTACATTCTCAACACCCAAAACATCACATAACCACACAAGAATTACATTCTCAACACCCAAAACATCACATAACCACACAAGAATTACATTCTCAACACCCAAAACATCACATAACCACACAAGAATTACATTCTCAACACCCAAAACATCACATAACCACACAAGAATTACATTCTCAACACCCAAAACATCACATAACCACACAAGAATTACATTCTCAACACCCAAAACATCACATAACCACACAAGAATTACATTCTCAACACCCAAAACATCACATAACCACACAAGAATTACATTCTCAACACCCAAAACATCACATAACCACACAAGAATTACATTCTCAACACCCAAAACATCACATAACCACACAAGAATTACATTCTCAACACACAAAACATCACATAACCACACAAGAATTACATTCTCAACACCCAAAACATCACGTAACCACACAAGAATTACATTCTCAACACACAAAACATCACATAACCACACAAGAATTACATTCTCAACAAACATTCACATGCTCAATAGACAAGCAGAGACTGGCTTTTTGGTTTCAAAAGCACGGATCATATCCAATAGACATAGTCTGATAGATGTTTTTTGCTTCTATCAAACACGTCTAATGAAATGAATCTGTCAAGCATGCCTAATGACTCTGTCAAGCACGTCTAATGACTCTGTCAAGCTTTGTCTAAAGACTGTCAAACGCGCCTGATGACTATCAAATGTTTCTAATTGTTGTGTAATTGCAATGCATGTCAAAAGCTTCAGTCACAAATGTGTCATGCCATTCAGACAGAGATCGCTGTCGTCAAATTCATATTTCATTTCATTGCTGTACATTTGAATGTGTAAAGCCACGATCGCCTCCAACTGAATAAATCTTGAATCGCTCGCTCATCTGGCAGGGTGGTGGTCTTGTGTTCATTTGACCGGCTGCTACCTACTACGGTGCATCCGGTCACGTGTGGTGGGTTACCAGTGTCCAATAACAACAACAACGACCTCAAGTCATGGTCATGTCAAGATAAGTGATGTGGAATTCTTTTTCGAACCATCCGGTGAACATGTGATTCTTAATCAACATTAATGCAATGGGTCTCGCTGGGGGGGGGGGGGGGGGTGCGGGGCTTAATACTACGCAATTTTCAGTTTCATTTTAAATCGAATATGATCTGACGCGACATCTAGCGGACCTTGCTGTCCCAGTCATAACCGTTTGCAGAAGCCTCTACACTTATTTAGACGGCGCTTTCTCGACTTGAATTCGTATTTATACCCAACCCTTGAAATTAAACCAAAAGTTCGATATTTCGCAATATACTTGCTAGATTTTGACAAAGGGGGATTTAAAAAAAAAAGATTGCAATTAGCAAGGGTGCAGAGACTCAGAAGAGAAAAAAAAGTTTGAGAACCACTGCATTCAATGAATGTATCCAACTATCTGGTGTGATATTTTAAAGTGCTGATACCTCTGGCAATGACGCAGCTTAGGTCAAGGTTGGGCAACCTTGGGCTGAAAACACATTTTTTAGTGGGGGAGGGGGGAACGCCGTTTTTTTTCCTTGAACATAACAACAGGGGGGGGGGGGGGGTGTATAAAAAAAAAAAATTCTTCAGTGGGGTCGCAGCCATACAAAGTTTTTGAACCGTTGGTTGGGGTGAGGCAACATCTCGCCGACTGATTAAACTTTTTTCATTTTCTTTTGTTTTGAGCTAGCCGTAAATGGTCAGTCATTATTTCGTTCAATCAGGAGAAGATTGTAAGATTGGACGTGATTGCCGCTGCCTACCAAACAGTTGCTATGTAAAGAACGAATCGCAGCACCGTTACCTCATGCTTTCAAAGCCATTGATTATCAAATAACAGCTTTTAACTCTGTCGCCAACAGGGTTAACAGTGACAGGGGAGGGGTCATTCAATAAAATGGCGCGATGGGGAAAAATCCTCTTTTAAATAAAGGTAAACGACGGGATTGTCCATTGTATTTTGTGTGCATAAGTCTGATGGTATACCGGCATTTTTTTCCTTTCAGGTTACCAAACTTGTTTGGGTCGCAAGTAATCTCACATCTATGTGTGTCTGAAAACAGACTGATCGGTGGAATAATGTGAGACCCACGAGGGCAGACTTTTATTTTTTTAAGGATTACCCCGATTTACATACATATATATATATATATATATATATATATATATATATAAATATACACACACGCACATATATTTATATACTTTCCCACTGCAGCATTAATATGACGTCACCTGCACAAGTGTCACTGATTAATTTTTAATTTTCTTAATTATACTTAATAACGCAATAATTCCTGGGAAAAATAAAATGATATAGTCAATGAAGTTGTTTACAAATAATCCGACAGAAAGTACTGACGTTCTCAAAACCGGGCATTAGAAAGTTCCTGAACACAATATGGCCAAACATCAGCACCAACATAGACTTACTTGAAAGGACGTACAAGAGCCAATTGTTGAAGACATGAGGAAAAGATGGAGGTGGACAGGGCAAACTCCTCGTAAACCAGTAACTCAGTAACATCACCAGACAGGCTCTAGCATGGAATCCACGGGAAGACAAGAAGGCTGAAGAATACGTGGAGACTTGAGCTAGAGGCAGGCACACAAAGTATGGGATACTTAGAGACGTGAGCAAGAGGCAGACAAAGAGGGCCTATACCTCAGGCGGTGTAAAAGTAATCGCCATAAGTAATTAATTGAATATAATGGCTCACTTTAAAATTAAAAAAAAATTAGTAAAAAAAATTAAGCTTTCGGTTCCCACGACAATAATCGATAACCCCGGGGCCCCCCCAGCCTTAACCCCCCCACAACTTAGTTGTGCAGACCCCCCCCCCCCCCAAAAAAAAAAAGACAGCACTTTACTTGACCAAAGATGCACTAAGTGACCTTAAGTTCATCTTTCTCCTCTCATATGTTCATTTAAAAAATATATATTTATAGAAATATTGACGATTTGCGAGCTGAATTAAAGTAATAATCGTAAAACTGGAGGTTCGCTTTTGAGGACAGATAAGAAAAGCGAGAGTACCGGTAATTTATCTTTTGTGTGTAGCCGTAGCATCAAAGTCAAAGACTTGTTAAAATCTGCCTCGTAGAGGAAATACAACAATTTAATGCAATATTGTATTTTTATTATGTAACCAAAAAAAATCAACGATTATATAACAATTTTTAAAAGAACATTTTGTAAGGTCTTACAGTAAAAGTAGAGCAATTACTTTGATGTGAAATTTGGTCAAACGCTCCAGTAAACTTTTGACTCTAAATTACTTGTGTATTTTTATCTACCGTACACTACTGAAAATTAAAAGGTCGATGACGATTTCAATTGATTGGGTTACTTCGTACTTACGCTTAGGCCTATGCAGTTCCGGACTTCACTTTAGGCTAAGTAGGCTTAAAGATAGGGCATCCAGAATCTAGGCCAATCTAGGATATATAGGCTTAAGGCTAGGGCCTCCAGAATCTAGGTTAAGTAGGCTTAAGGATAGGGCCTCCAGAATCTATGATAAGTAGGCTTAAGGATAGGGCCTCCATAATCTAGGCCAAGTAGGCTTAAGGATAGGGCCCCCAGAATCTAGGTTAAGTAGGCTTAAGAATAGGGCATCCATAATCTAGGCTAAGTAGGGTTAAGAATAGGGCCTCCAGATTCTAGGATAAGTAGGCTTAAGGATAGGGCCTCCAGAATCTATGCTAAGTAGGGTTAAGGGTAGGACCTCCAGAATCTAGGCCAAGTAGGCTTAAGGATAGGGCCTCCAGAATCTAGTTTAAGTAGGCTTAAAGCAAGGTGTGGGCCTCCAGAATCAAGGCTATGCGCTTGTCTGATTTGTATCTGGAGATGGAGTCCCGTAGGCGGTATGGCATTAACACAAAATGTCAAAAGACGACAATGACCTAGTACAATTAAATGTTTCGGCTACGCTCTATTATGTCGTAGACATTACCATCTTAAGAACACATTCAAGGTTTTTAAAAAAAAAATATATATATGAAAAGATCTTTGTCAAGATTATGAAATATTAGATAAAATATGTAACAGTTGTGCGTACAAAGGTAAACTAACAAGAGCAAAACCGCTTTTAAAAACTATTTTAAAAGGTTTTCTGGAGAGGGTGGGGTAATCGCAGGGGATCTCGGAGTTCATTCAGCCGAGGGCCCCCCGGTAGCTGAATCCTGCACTGCACTTACGAGCGTAGCGTTGTTGTTCTTTTTTAAACGATGAGTGCTCCATGGAAGAGTCTTGGTTTCATTATTATTAAAGCTTGGCGAAGTAACATCAAAATGTGACCAGGTCTTCTAACAACCATCCTTTCATAGGACTAGGTCCACTAGCGACCATGGTTTCATGTGACTAGTTCTTCTAACGACCATCTGTTTAGGTGCTAGGTCTTCTAACGACCATTCTTTTATGTGACTAGGTCTTCTAACGACCATTCTTTTATGTGACTAGGTCTTCTAACGACCATCCTTTCATAGGACTAGGTCTTCTAAAGACCATCCTTTACACATGACTAGGTCTTTTAACGACCATCCTTTACACATGACTAGGTCTTCTAACGACCATTCTTTACACATGACTAGGTCTTCTAACGACCATCCTTTCATGTGACTAGGTCTTCTAACGACCATCCTTTCATGTGACTAGGTCTTCTAACGACCATCCTTTCATGTGACTAGGTCTTCTAACGACCATCCTTTCATGTGACTAGGTCTTCTAAGAACCATTCTTTCAAGTTTAAAAAACAAAACAATGTTTAAGTTTCATAATTCATAAATTTATGACATAGTTTTTATCGACAATGTGAAATCATTAATGTCCATAATTTTAATCACTTTTCAGAATTAAAACCCCATCAAACCTCACTCTTTTTCGGAGAGAGTTTTGGCTATCAAGTAAATAAAGAAAATGTTCTACATCTTCCTATGACGGCCATGTTTGATGACGTTTTACTGCATAAACCCCATGGAAAACTAACTCTGCCGGTCCCGACAGTTCTATATTTGTAAACGTGAGTAGTCCCGCCTGGTCTGCTGACGAAGTTCCCTTGATGGCTTTAAAAGATATTTTGAGGTCTCCGCCTTTCATTAGAATAATGCGTTGGACGTCGGTGCCCTGAATTTGTCTTCCCATTGCAATTTCTTCAACATTTCCCGCATCGTCCCCTTTCCGGTCAAAACGGGCTCTTGCAGCGGCACTTCTGATTGGTTTCCCATCGCTGACGCCGTTGCCGTGAGCTGGAAGGCGAGTGACGTCACCGCTTTCTGCTGTCACGTCATAGTTGTTTCTAGTTGGGTCACCCGCGTCATTTCCTGGGTGTGTTCGCCAGGTGACGCCACCGGTATGCGCTGTGAGGCTGGTGTCACTTTCCTTGAGATAATGGGCAATGGCCACAGCCACCGCGCCTGTGCCGCACGCCAACGTCTCCTCTTCGACACCACGTTCGTAGGTCCTCACGCGAAGTCTGGCTGGCCCTACGTCCATGCCACGGTCTCCGTCGAGCTGTGCGTGCCGACCCTCGGGTGTGACCTCGCTGACGAAGTTAATGTTACTTCCCCTCTGTCCATACAGTCCGTACCTGAGTTGTCTCCCCGTCCTGACCACGTCCAGCTCGTCCAGGCCAGAGGGGACGAAGGTCACGTGGTGCGGCGACCCCGTGTCCAGAAACATCTCCCCACCGCTGTAAACTTTGATTCCCTCCGACGTCATGTCTCTGAAGTTGACGAAGTACGTCACGTGACCCTCGTGGCCGACGTGTTCGACCCCGCCAACGTGAAGGCCGTCTGCAGCCTCGAAGTGGTACACTGGCAACGCTGTCGCAACACCGTCACTCTCACCTTCACTGGTCGCAGTGGAACTGTCTCCGCGACGACCCGATTCACGCTCTAAACCTTTTCTCTTCTTTTTCCCTGTTTCATCCTCTGAGCTTCTCATGCCGTTTGCCCAAGCGAATGCTATGGCGCACCGGCAACCATTGCCGCAAAGGCTGCCTTCCTTTCCGTCAGAGTTAAAGTACAACACGCGGAAGTCTGCCCTCTCGCTTGTCTGTATCTCCAAGACACCGTCTGCTCCGATTCCAAAATGTCTGTCGCACATCTGTCTTCTGTGATCGTCCGTCGGGGCGCATTGGTTGTTCCGGTTGTCGATGACAATAAAGTCATTTCCGGCTCCTTGGAACTTGTGGAATTCAAGGTCAAACATGGCAACCTGACAAAATAAAATCGATAACATCTCAACATTACATTTCAGTCATTGAGATATTAAATTTCAGTCATTGAGATATTACATTTCAGTCATTGAGATATTACATTTCAGTCATTGAGATATTACATTTCACTCATTCAGATATTACATTTCAGTCATTGAGGCATTACATTTCAGTCATTGAGGCATTACATTTCAGTCATTTAGATGTTACATTTCAGTCATTTAGATGTTACATTTCACCTATTGAGATATTACAATTCAGTCATTGAGATATTACACTTCTTCATTCATTGAGATATTACACTTCAGTCATTGAAATAAGATATGTTGAAGAGAAACAAGCTCTAGAAAAATAGAGGCCAGAAGTACTACAAAAATCTCCCGACCCAAGCATTCAATACTGTTGATTTTTTCTCTCTGTCTTTAAATCTAATCGCGTGATTTTTTAATGATGGGTAAATCCATCAATCATCCATCAATCATCCATAACCCATCCAATGTTAAGGACTTGAATGTATCGTGTGATTGCGTGGTGTTTAGAGATTATGTGTGTTGTGTTATCTATTATTCTTAGTATCTTGTGACGTACTGTGTGAAGAAAGGGGATATGACGTATTATTATTGTAGAGTGTGGTCTTGTGAGTAATGGCAGGTCAAGATGTAGCTTAGTTCGTTAATAAAGATATTTAATATGAGAATAATGGTTCGTGAAGTGTAAATAATTAAAACCCTAGACAACGAACCTTTTAAGTAAGACCGGGTTTGTAACTATCCATAATCCATATATCATCCATCTATCTATCTATCCATCCATCCATCCATCCATCCATCCATCCATCCATCCATCCATCCACCCATTCACCCATCCATCAATCCATCCATCTATCCATCTTCTATCCGTCCGTCCATCTGTCTGTCTGTCTATATATCCATCTATCAATCAATCATTTTCTTAATTGGTAAAATGAGAATATAGCATCTATTTTTCACAACTGTAATATCATTGGATTTAAAGATATTGTCATCCACTATACACAAACTATACACAGCCTATTTCTTAACCCCCGATATCTATGGACCTAAGAAGGTTGTTATTATAAATATCAATAACAAACAAGCATTTAATCTCAAACGAAAATTTAAAAAAAACAAGGATCGAATAAGTTAACGATAAGCTTCACAGCTATTTTCTATTGACTGTTTTGACAGTAAATAAACATGTTGATGGACTTACAAATATCATATCATAACCACTGACATTTAAATTTAGGAGTTTAGTTGAAATACATTTTGTGACTTTTTTTCCTGTGACTTTTTTCCTGTGACTTTTTTTCCTGTGACTTTTTTTCCTGTGACTTTTTTTCCTGTGACTTTTTTCCTGTGACTTTTTTTGCTGTGACTTTTTTGCTGTGACTTTTTTGCTGTGACTCTTTCTTGTGACTTTATTTCCTGTGACTTTTTTGCTGTGACTTTTTTTCCTGTTACTTTTTTTCTGTGACTTTTTTCCTATGACTTTTTTCCTGTGACTTTTTTTTCCTGTGACTTTTTTCCTGTGACTTTTTTCCTGTGACTTTTTTCCTGTGACTTTTTTGCTGTGACTTTTTTCCTGTGACTTTTTTCCTGTGACTTTTTTTTCCTGTGACTTTTTTCCTGTGACTTTTTTTTCCTGTGACTTTTTTCCTGTGACTTTTTTCCTGTGACTTTTTTCCTGTGACTTTTTTGCTGTGACTTTTTTCCTGTGACTTTTTTTTCCTGTGACTTTTTTGCTGTGACTTTTTTCCTGTGACTTTTTTCCTGTGACTTTTTTTTCCTGTGACTTTTTTCCTGTGACTTTTTTCCTGTGACTTTTTTGCTGTGACTTTTTTCCTGTGACTTTTTTTCCTGTGACTTTTTTCCTGTGACTTTTTTTCCTGTTACTTTTTTTCTGTGACTTTTTTCCTGTGACTTTTTTTTCCTGTGACTTTTTTCCTGTGACTTTTTTCCTGTGACTTTTTTCCTGTGACTTTTTTCCTGTGACTTTTTTTCCTGTGACTTTTATGCTGTGACTTTTTTTCCCCCCCCGAAACCACCACCACCACCCACACTCGGTAACACACTCGTAGATCCGCCCCTGATAACAGCCATTACGTTACTGCATGTGGCCAGGTTGAATGCCCAGACGTTGGTGTCATGCTGTGTCCTATTTCGTGTCATGTTATTTATAATTTACCACGAGTAACAACAGCCCCAAGGAATTGTGCAGTATTGCTGACCAAATGGTTGCCGTGAAAAAATTGTAAGACAGGCTTAATAGAAACGCGCGTGGTAAGACTTGTTTGTTACTTTGCCCCCAATACGGGGCACACACACCTTGAAAAGAACCTTGGAACAGCTTAACAGCAGTGATCCTCAAACATGTCAAGTAATTTAATTTGCAAATAGCGTGTTTACGCACGTGGTTGAGGTTGAGGGTTCGCTGAACTGACCGTTATTTTAGGGGGGGGGCGGTATTTGCCGTACACTTCGTATACTTAATATGACGTCATTTGTCTGCATAGTGTGAGTGCATTACGATTTGTGCTTTTCGTGAAATGGGGAAATGAGGAAAAGGGGGGGGGGGGGGGAATGCAAAA